AAAATTCATCGGTGCCTTGCGGGAACTCGAATGTCGAATAACCTATCTTTGTATATACCTACATTTCTTTGAAAGTGTACATCGGAATTCTGTTCTTTTTAAACTGTTTTTAAACATTCAATATTTTTATCACAAAATGTTCATGAGATCGTGGAACTATTTTTTCTGTGTACTTATATTTATGCCGAAAGTCCAAGAATTATTTTTTGAGGTTAGTTTATGGATATATACAACTAAATGTAAAATATTGAAATAGTTTCAATCTGCAGTAGATTTAATATATTTTAACCTAACCTAACTTAGCTAACTAGCTCAGAAATTCTACAATAACAGAATAATGTACATATACTTCTTATACATGTATAATATTTGTTATTGTTGTTGTATAATAATATGTAGTATCGATGCATTTAAGCCTCTATAATACCATGTAACTTAAAGGTTACATACAATGTATCTATATTTTATAAGTTTTACTTTATCTGCTCACTATTGTACTGCCCTAACAATTATTAATTCCTACTTTTTCGATAAAAATAAGGCTTCACAATTAACCACAATATTTTTCTTAGTAAACAAGAAAAAGTACAATTTATAACGAGCTAGATTAAAAGGTTAGAATCCCACGAACGCAACCATAACCTAACCTAGACATCTCTATTTCGTTTTCAGGAGAGTAGGAGAGGGTGATCCGTGAAGCAGAATGAGAGAAGTGACCCGAGTCTGCTCGAGCAGGGATTCGTTGGCCCTCCACACGAGAAATGATTTTTAGAAGGTACCGATCGAACCACACTCCATCTTCTCTTCTTTTTTTTTTTCTTCGTTTCTCTCTCCTCACCATTCCTTTCCGTCCAAACCTCCAAGTGTGCGCCCAGAGAATTGCTTCGGCTGGAAATTACTCTGGATATACGAAGTCACCTGCATGGCATGCCCCTCCCCTCATCCACTATCTTCGCCATGGATACACACGATGTCGTTTTCCTCTTTGCAATTCAACAACGCGGATTCTTGCGTCTGAGACGTGCGTACAGAAGCACCCTGTGTCGAGCATACTGCACGTACTTCAAATAATGATTAAATATGCACTTAAATTCTGTGTGTTAAAATTACTCGTGAGATATGTTTCATTTAAAGCCTTTGCTATGTACATATATGTGTAGATGTGTTCAATGTTTCTTCAATTACTTCAGCTGATTTGTGTAATTTAAGTAAGAAGTAATTAATTAATAAATACGTAATTAATTAAAGTAAAGTAATTAATAAGTATTAATAAAAGATGTGTTGAATCTTGGTTCGTTGTCGAAAAGCTTGCATGAAAACTTCGTGCCACTAAGAGGAAAACTATCCTTCTCGTTACCTTGCACGTTTCTTTCCCCCGCGCGAGCGTTTCCATGAAATGCGTTCTAAGCCGGAGCACCGCCAAGGACCAATTGGCCGTTTACCCGTAAAACATCGCGACGTTGTTTATGGAGATGCGTCAAGCTACACAGGAGTGTGTATATTACGTGCATATTGTAGTCGAACGAGAGACAATATCCCCTCCAATCACATTGACCACTTCCTTGAAATCAAAATTATAACTTCTTCGTTTTCCTAATTTTTCCTTTTAACGAGTGCGAGATTAAATTTTTCAAGTATGCTATACCAACCCCTTCCCCTTTTCAATTCGCTTTTTCTACTGTACGGAGCTGGAAAGAAGACGAGCGGAAGGAATACGGGTTATGTCTCCGTAGGCTTACCTTCTCTAACACAACCACAGAAATTAGACACACGTATTGTCATTATTGGCCGAACACGATAACATCGCGTGACGGAAAGATTAGGCGGTGCGAACGAAGTACCCCTCTCACCCCTGTGCCATCGCGCTAGTCTTCTTACCAGCTCCACGTAGTATTAATTGGCGCAACTTTTGGATCCTACTGTCGGAGACTCCATGCAAACTGGGTCGTTAATTACTCAGAGGAAAAAAGTTTGGTTCGACGAAACGAAATTATCCAACAAATTGTTCGGAGCTGCACGAGGGTTCGGCCCCCTTTTTAGGATCGGACTCGTCAACCAAACAGGAGGGGGGTTAGGGTGGCAGTTGAGGAGTGGGGGGTAGCAGGTCAAGGTTATGTGCCACGACAGCCGCACGCGGTTGAGGATTTCATTGATTCTTAATGAGCCAACGAGCGAGCTTGACACAGAATGTATCGGACATGAATAGTAACCCCGATTGAATCAAAGACTGAGACATTCGGTCATGATGGACGCCGCTTATGAGATTCCTGGCATAACTCTCAGTGGCCCTAGGTCAACTGTGATTGCGCACAGCCACGTGCGATCGATTATTCGGTGAACGTGAAGGGTGCATGAGCCAGGGGAGGCGTTTTGTTTCAGTTCGATCAAGCCCTTGCCCACCTGCTGATTTAAACGCGTCCTTCTTACGTTATTACGACACGTTCAAGTCAATTTCGGACGATTTCAACTGTTGCCTATTTTGAGGTTAGGTCATTCTGAAATAACCGTTTCTTCATTTAAATTGAATTCTTGTTACTTAGTACTTCATTGTCACTGTGTTAGAACATTATCCATACCCTTTCCGCGGTTGCTCATTTTGAAGTTAGATTAGGTTACTATAATACCTGTTTCTGTACAGCGAAATTTAGTTGTATTATTTAAATTAACACTTTGTCGTTCGATGAGAATTGTATATCGTAAGGCAGAAGCAGAGTGTGACCTGGTAATTTTATTTCCTGCCAGTCGATATATCTGAACTTGTTAATTTATTAATGGAGTAGTCCCATCCGTCGACTCCCAAATGATCGAGTAATTTTAATTTGGTTCGCGATACGCTCATCCCCGTTCCACATTTCTTAATCTCCATTCTGCATTCGTCCTACCCGAAAATAAATGCCGCCGGGGATCTATCGATTATCGAGGCCTTCCGACGTTGCCTCGACACCCTCCCTCCTCCTCCCGCCCTTCCATTTCACTCTAGGGGAGGGAAACAAATTTTTAATAACGCGGCTGCAACCGTGATTAAATCGAGGCTCATTAATTAACGCTGAATCACGGTTTCCGCGTGTGTAATGGCGTTATTCGCTGCACAGGCGAGGAGTCTGCTCTTCCAATTGATTCTTCTGCTATCTGGTGAATTTTCTCTGCTGGTTACTTTGTATTCTATACGGTATTTCATCTTTCACTAATCTATGTTTTTATAAATGACTCGTTTTTATCAATTTTGTTATTGTGCATAAGTTATGTCTGAATATTTTACTCTTTTTCCTAATCTCAAGAATTATCTAACCTAACCTGATCTTTCGTTGATTTCTTTTCACTTTCATTTTCGTCACTTAACTAAAATCCTTTCTCCCTTCTGACTCTGAGAATCGAGCCAGCCACGTAAAGTGACAGAAGTAGGGCTAATTAGACGGAACAAGAGAAAAAAAGCAGTTTTCAATTAAGTCCACTTGCGTGGAAGATATCAATTGTAAAAAAAAGTTTAGAGACAGCTCAGTACAAAAAAAAAGTTGAGGTCGGCGGTAATGCGAGGAGAAAGCGGCGGGGATTCGAGGAAGACAACTTGAGCGTGCTTGATTCGGGAGGATGATAGTAAAAGGACGGTTGATTTCGACCAGTCAACCTTCGACTATCGTAGAAAAGGGATATTCCATGTTACAATACTTAGACTCGCTTTATTCAGTCCCCTTTGTGATTTAAAATACACAAGTTAAACTATAATAGTTTACCTTTCAAAATCCTATTTCAATTTTGGTATTTTATTTTGACTAGAGATGTCGTATGTCGGTAATACAGTAATTTCTAATATCATACGTTGTAAGAAAATTAATTCAAAACTCTGCTACAATTTTAGAACGAATTTTTGATAAAAATATACAATAATTGTAGAGAAAATATTAGTGAAAAGTGTAGGATATTGGTAATAGTGCAATTTCTGTAAATATATACGAGAAGAAAAGTTCGTAAATAGTGTTGCCCTATGGTGTTAGGTTATTCACTGTACAGTGGAGATTATAGAGACGTTTCCTGTGTACTACGAGCACCTAGCCGGCGGATTTTCTCTCTGGTACGTATCGATCGATCTGTCCTGCTTTCCCCAACGTGAAAGGTAGGGGGATAGAGCGACTCCTGGCATCCTTAGCTTCAACAAAAATTTGTGACTACGAGCTGCTTTGCTAACAAAGTGCATTAGCCGAACGGGCAACACCTTTGGAAGCCTTTTAGCAACGACGTGTTACGTAACATGGATTGCTTTTGATAGTGTTGTGCCGTGCTCGGAGCATATGAAGATTTCGAAACTTCCATTTGCCACTTAACCTCTTTGGTTCATCAATTAATTCTCGTGGTTAGGTTAGTCGCTATCTTAAGATAATGATCTCCTTATTATATGGACTAATATAAAATTAATGGGTGTTCCAGTAATGGGACACCTCGATATTAATTCAGACTTCGAATTTGGGAGAATTGATTTTGAAAATTTTGATTTACAGTCTTCTCATTTCTTGCATGTTTTAAATAGGAAATAGTTTTCAACGTCACTATACATATCTATCTATAAATCCTATCTATCAGTGTGGTCAGCGTAATTTGATTTCTGTTAATTATTTCCGTTACTACTGGTCCAATAGAAATTCTTCTTTTCTAAATACATTTTTTTTCAAAGTTTTTTTCATACTATAATTTTGTTTAGCCTACCTTACACACACATATACATATCGATCTTCAAAATCGATTCTCTTGAAAATAAAATTTCACGTTCGAAAATTCCCTTTGCCTGTTCGTACACCACGATTATTATTCATGACACCCTGTTTATCATTTCTGACTGATAACTGAGATACGGTACTGGAAGAATCTCTACGACAAATTCGAAGGCAAAGAAATTTCCAAATAAATCCATAGTCATTCTATAGCCTATATTGAATCATCTGCATTCACTACCTATTTCTATTGATCAGTGGATGAATTTCAGGAAGAGGGCATGACGCACCGAACTCATGCAGTGGCGAAAACACGTGCGCATCAAGTACGGTGGTCGAGTCGGTGTCGGTCAAGGGCAGCGGGAGCGGGAGCAGGTGCAGCTGCAGGTGCGCGTGGTGCAGCTGCAGCGGGAAGGGGGCGCACGACTCAGCTACGTCTGTCATCAGCCTCAACTCTCGTCGACAGCTCGCCGCAGCTGCAGCGCAACAGCCATGCTCTGCTGCGGCCGCAGAAAAGTGAGTACCGTTTCATTTTGGAAGATGCATGCTTGATGATGATGAACTGCAACATGGGGTCCTTGAGCAAGAAAAGAAGCTTCTTTGCATGGAAATGTTAAGGTACCCTTGTAAGATGGAGCTGGAATCAGATTTAAAGCTGGTACAATGTATTACTACTTGAGCTTTATGTGGATCAAGCCTTATGCAGCATAAAAGTTGAAATTGTGCCTAAAATGCTGGTATAATAACCGTTGAAAGATTATCATATGTAAAGTAATTTAAATGGCATTTTTACATTCTTTTCTGAAGTGTCATAGTGGGTCTACAGTGTTTTCTTGATCCCAAACCTAGTCGGTAAACTTATTGCCAAGAAAATAAGTGTTCTACTTCTTTGAATGGGTGTTATAGACTGTTTGAAAGCTACAGAAATTATTACACATAAGGTTTCAACCCTGCAATCATTTTTCTGACACGTTTTCTTGAATCTAACCAAAAAAACACACAATTTTATACCTTTAAAAGATGCAAACGTATATCATCAAAGGTATCAATCCCTTGAACAATTTCTTTAAATCTCCCCCTAGACTCTTCACAACGAACAAGATCACAAGTCTGCATGAAAAACAAAATCACTGACAATGTGCACAAAAGAGATCTCAGTTTCCCAGGTAAAGCTCGTTCTCCCCAGAGGGGAGAGAAGTTTGTCACAAGCAGTGCTCTGGCGCAATTTTCTCCCAACCACAACTGAATAATTTAATTAATGTTAAACACTAATTTAAGGCAGCCACGTTGATGGAAAACGGCTCGTCAGTCAGTCAACTTTTTTCCTTTGCACGTTTTTCTCCGACGAATTTCCTGGCTTTGATGGAAAAGCGAGCACAGAGAATGGAGAACCGATGTGCCTCCGTATGTCTCCGATTACCGTGCTCGATTTACACTGGTCGTGTTCGTCGAACAGTAGGACACCATTGCATCCGTGAAATCAGGTTAATGTCAGGTGCGAGCACGTGACTTACTGCGTGGTCCAGTTGCAGTCTGTAGCACGTGAACATAATCAATTATTAGAACACTTTCGTGAAAAATTATATATCGTTCTATTTATATTTCGAATTTTTATATTTTTATACAGCGAAGAAAGATTTTTAATGGAAAAAATTCTCTTACATTTTCCAATGGAAGTTATTCGCAGACAGAACGGAATTTTTCGTTTCAATATCCTTATTGATATTTCAAGTGAAATATCAAATTTTTGAGTGAATGCGTTACATGGAAATCGAACAACACAGTTCCGATACGGTTGTGTGTATATCGGCCCGTTATAAATCAATATCGAGATACGGAGCGGAACAGCTCGGCTTTTATCATATATATTTGTCACGCTCCCGCCCACAAATATCCGGCAGCTTGCCATTATTTTCTATTCTACTCGATGATATGAGGAACCGACCAAATAAACGTGTGTACACGTCTACCATTGATTTTCCCGTTGAAATCAACGTTTAACCATGGATAACTAGCTTCCCAGTAGGTAGGTATGTATTGTGAAGGAAATTTAGAATTTCATGACGCTTTTTGCACAATATTAAGACGCAATATTGTTAGATTTCTGAATCTATAAAATTGTTTTAATCATTCGAATTTCTATGACAATGTTATATTTCTTGTTTATTAAATCAGTGTTTTATAGTTTTAGTGATAATAATGGTGAACTGAAAATTGTAGCCAGTAATTTAGATTGAAAAACTTGAGATTTTAATAGATGCACAGTATAAAAAAGGTTTTTATACTTGTTACTAATATGTATATAATTATAAATAGAAAATAAGTTAGGTTAGGTTAGAGTCAAACACTTTTTCATGCTTCTAATAGTATTCACATATATTTTCTAACGTTAGTATGCAAAGCATAAGATTTTTTTAAGTACAAGTGACAAATTTTACAATTATTAGATTTATAAGCGAGAATCTCAGTTTGACAACCATAGACCAAACAACAGCATTCATTGACAACTTCGTTAAATTAATACTATCTCACATTTTAACATTTGACAGATATCAAACCTGTGAAATGAACTTTCCTTTCGCTTTGAAGTGTCCAAAAATCAGATTAGAAGTTCTACCAACCACCTAGATACACATAAACTTCCTAGATCGATATGTTAAGCATATAAAATTCTTCAGACAGCCAGTATCGAAAATTATTTTGTAAAAATTGAACAGTCGGTAGATCAGAGTCAAGAATATGTATTACGTCGTTCGTCACGTGTCCGCGTCTTATTTTCCGTTGACGCGCCTTCATAGCGTGGAATCGCTAACTCACCTTTTGAAAACGAGCTATGTGCACAAGTTCAACGGAAGCAAGACAATGGGGGAACAGGGCAGAAAAAGAAAAGACGGTGTCGTCGGGCCTACGTAACAGCTCTGCCGTGTCATTTTTATATTGTCTCCTCGAAAACAGTCGTACGGCCTGGAAAACGTTTCATCCAGCCTGTAGATTTCACAATCTATTATTTCGTGTTTATTATCTGTCGCGTTCACGCTTTATTAAGCCCTCCACACTATCCCCACTCCGCTCGCTGATTAAGTTTCATCAATCTAGGTTGGTATCCGTGTTTCTTCTATGGTTCGTTCTGCTTATTTCATGGTTAGGTATGTTTCGTGCATCGTAAGTTCAGTTATACACTGTGAAATATCTGTTTGACTTGAAGATGTGTTATTTAAAATATGAAAGTAAGGTTAGGTATCGAGATTTAATATTGAAAATTCAAGAGTGCCAACGTAAATGTTTATTTTTATAATAACTTTATAATAATTTTTATTAAAAACTTGAGAACACATTTTCAAGTGATTTATTGTAATCGTAACCTGTATTCGCGTTACAGTTTACTCTAGTAAAGTGCCACTTTAAAGTATAGTTCAGTATACCATAGCGTCTTGCGAATATCGCGAGTGTGCTTTGGGCCATGTTCATGGTGAACTCGCGAACTTTCCTCCGTGCTATCTGAAACGCACACAGTGAAAGGCTGCTCTCCCTTCAGAGGGAGAGGGGGAAGTGTGTTAAAAGTGCTACACCGGCACAAAGAGGGACACTCCCTTCGGCAAGTATCAAAAGCTGCGCGACAGCTCGTGGGGTGATCCCCGTGTTGCCAACCTAAAGCTCATAGCATTCAATTTTAACCCTCTTCTTTTTTCGATTGTTGATGAGAAAATGTTTCATAACCTAGAAATGTGATATCAGAATGAATGTCAGGTTAGGCTGTTGCAATTTTTCAAACTTTGCGAGCGGTAGGACGATGACTCATGAAAAATAAGACACTAATGGCGGCGCAAATGTAGCGAAAGTGGGCAAACGTCGGGACAACGACGAATAAAACTGTCGCGAGGCCGCGGAACGAAGTGGCTCGCGGACAAATTTATTTAACTTCCACTAATGACGTCATTAAAATAATAAACGATGTCGTTTAGGCGTCTTCGCTCTTCCACGGTCAGAGAATCACCCCTGGAAAACTTTCTCTCCCCGTGTCGACGTCATTTCGTATCGCGAAATTCCATCGAGAGTCGATTTCTCTTTTTTCAGTTTTTTGAGTGTAAAAAAAATGTTATTAGGTTAGGTTAGCTTAACAAGATGATTTTAAATTATGAAAAAAATAAAATTATTATTCAGATATTATAAATTTTCAATTATTATTCAGCGAAGTTCTCGTAAAATTAGGTTACGTTATTTCATAATTAATTACCATGTCATTATGCACTTTTAAATTCCACTAATCTTACTCCAATAGCTAACTCGGCGACTAGAAATAGACGTCGTAAAGCTACTTCCGGTTCGATGTATTTCCATAAGCGGAGCTGTGCAGGTTTCCGGAAGCCGGCTTTACGTTCCTTCCGAGTATCACGCGTGTCGGCAACCTCGAATATTTTGCATGTTTCCGCGAAAACTCGACGTTGTACCCGTTGCAGTCGGAGTACATTATGGGTACGATCGAGCACGCGAACCGGATGTTTCGTAAGGATGCCCGCGACACAACCGGTGTCCTAAAAGAATTCATAACCTCTCTTTCTAAAAAAACACGTATTGCAATTTTCTTGTTGCAATTATTTCCTTAAATTCACAAAAATTCCATTACTACGAAAAGAAAGTGTTAAAGCATCTCTAATCTTTTAGATTTTCCAAAAATTCTATTGTTATTAATTTTTCATAAAAATTGTGAAAGAAATATGTTGCATCTCTGGCTAAAATTCACGGAATTAGTAATTTAGTGCCAATTGAGGTTAAGTCGGCAGCCATTTTGATTTCACGTATAGAAATTAGTTCCGAATATGGAGAACGACGTGTATTTTCGACTGCGATAATTGACCATCGAGAACGACTTTCCTTCAGACCTGGTTTCAATTTTCGGAGCTCAAGATGGATCGTAGTACAACCAATTGCATATAAATATAGACATGACCCGGCTGCTCGTTTAGTAAATCATTCAATCACAGCTCGAATTTCCATTGGTTGTACGTTCCAATGTAAGAATTTACGGTTCGCGAGGAAAAAAGGAGTACTATAATGAATACATTGGTGTAGCACATAAAGATAGCCCAAATTGTTTGGGATGTATGCTTTATTTATTTCAACCTGGATTTTCTCAATAACGATGTCACGTGACTGAATGGTGATTTAAAAATATTTCACCCAATAGATGTCAGAAATAATTGCCATCAGAATACCTTTTCGCCTGCCCATAACGCCTGGGGCTCATTACGACCCGTTCATCTGCTATCGATATCAATAGCTCGCTAGCTATCGATCAGGGTACACGGGACGAGTAATAAATTCCTGCGTGGTCGTCGCATAATGAACACGTCGTCCTTTCACCGTGTCACAATTTTTCACTGTTTCACGCGTTTGTTCGCCGATATTTGAGAATAATTGGCGCGCTAAATATTCGGAAAGCTTCTGGTAGAGAATATTTAATAGCCAGTACAGTATATTACAGGATTTCTCATCATTTCTCAGATCATTTTAATTGA